CAGGAAATCACACGGGAGGAGACTGCCCATTTTTTCCAGCATAGCAGCCGGTGGATTCAACCCATGTACCTTTGCATTAGCAAAACAATTCCTTACCACTAAGCCACCAGATTATTATCCGAGCCTTGAGAAGCTGAATCAGGCAAAACTATGTACATGTGTAAGAGCAGGGAGGCTGGTAGAGAGAGGAGCAGGAGAAAGAGCTTCGCGCAGGAGACAGACAGAGGAGTTACACATTCCATTCCTCCGTGCGTGAAAAAACTGCTAGTGAACTTATGAGTCCAGTCAGAGCAGCCTCGTATGGCAAGATTGAAAGATGAGCTGAACCTCCAAGTGGGTTTTTTAAGATGGCAAACTGCATGGAAGGAAACTGTCCATCCTCTTCCATCAGAGCTGGTGATAGATTCAAACCACCAAAGAAATGCAACCTTTGAGTTAGCAGCACAACTCCCTCCTGACTATCCCATCACTTGGTGTCGTTACATATGATCAAGTCAGAACGAAACCAAAACTGACCTTTCAGTGGATTTTCAGAGGCAGTAAACCACATTGGAGAAGATCACCCATCTTCTTCCTGCAGCAGCAAGCATCTGGCTGGCGGAGTTGAACCATGTGCCTCTGGATTGGCAGTACAACTCCTTACCACCAAGCCACCAGAGCTCCCTTAACAACAAAAGTGGCTCACAAAACTCTGTGACCTCGTGTTTGGTCCACAGGGAGGGGCTGAAGGAATTGGGAAAGATCCAATGGGGACCTGAAATGATGGGGTGATAAGGGGTATAGATCAATGGGGATTTGTTTTAAAAACAAAATGTTCGGGAATGGTCGTATGAAACACAATGTGAATGAAGGAATGGGTGAAAAGCAATGTACATGAATAAAGCACAATGTATACACATTTTGCATGCAGGATTTTTTTTTTACTTTGTGTGTAACATTTAATAAGCTCAATCTACATCCAGAATAATTTACATGAAAGGACAATATTTATTTAAACAGAGCTCAATGGGATAACCATGGTATCATCAGAGTGCATCCACCCTCAATGCACACGAACACTTTGTTACCTCCTTAGATTTCCATAAGATGGCACCATATGTGGTTACTGGCAGTGTAGATCAAACAGTAAAGGTGTGGGAGTGTCGTTGATTGATTCTCTTATTTCAGGATTTTAACTAAACAGGAGAGAGCTCTGGTTCCTTAGTGGAAAAGAATTGCACTGCTAACATAAAGGTACGTGGTTTGAATCCACCAGCGGCTCAATGGAGAAAAATGAGCAATTTCCTCCTGTGCAATTTACTATCTCTACTGAAGGTTCAGCTATGGGTCGACTCCAATGCGGCAGAACACCACAACAATTATGTAGAACAAGAGCCTAAACTAAGAGATTGGCCTAGGAAAGCAAAGAAGCGATTAAAATACAATAGTATGGACAATGCGGAGAGGGCGTGACAGCTACTTAAGGTCAAGAGTCAAGAATGATTCCATAGTCTATGTTGCTAAGAGGTGGACGGTACTATTAATAGAGGTAAAAAGTCAGCAGATTAAATGGGTAGGATGTGAGGATGAACTCCACACTGATCAAGTTATACCTACAGCAACACAATAAGGACCCCTGGCCCCAAATTCTGCCTCAGACCACAAAAACACAAGTCATCAGAAAAGCTTCTCTGTAGTTCTGAGGAAAAGTCACAAACTCCTTTAGATAACTGAACACTGAGTCATTCTGCAGAAGTTTCCTTTTAAACTGCTCTCTGAGCTTAGTGCATGTTGTTGTTGTTGGGAGGTGCTGTCAGGCTGAGTATGACTCATAGTGACCCTATGAACAGCCCCGATCTGGACCTTGCCCTACCCTGAACCAACTTCATCATCTCTGACAGACTAGAGCCCATTGCTGAAGTCACAGTGTCAATCCATGACACTGGGAGTCTTTCTCTCCTTTGCTGACCCTCCATCCTTCCAAGCAGGATGTCCCTTTCCAAGGAATAGCCTCACCTGCCTACATGTCCAAAGTATGAAAGACGGATCATAGCAGGTGTCATACACACATCACTGACCCCCCAGGAAGGAGGCCCCTTCAGAATAGAGGAAGAAGACAGGGGCCTAATACTATGACCTTATTCAACTCAGAATACTTTCAGTCTCTGTTCCACATTCTAAAGACCAAGAATATTGACGTCCCTTCATGACAACAACTAAAGGGGACCTTTGAGATTATCTTGGCCAGTGGAACACTTTGCAGATGAAGAATCAGAGCCTCTCAAGAGATGAAAACACACAGCAGTTACAAGAAGTTAAAAGCAAGCCAACTCCACACCTGAGGTTCTAACTTCAACTCCACACAGGTTCTAACTTTTCTTCCTACCATCTGGAAGCAAATCACAAACCATGTTCATTTTCTTCATAGTCTAAAATGAGTAACTGATATGAACTATTGGTTTAGGAAAATCAATGTGAATACATTCCCTCTGCATCTTTTTTACTGAGGACCCAAACACACCTTCACATTAACTCACATTACTATTGGTCAAGAAACCACAGAAACAACAAACATTGTCTCTTCACTTTGGGATCTAAAATCAGTATAAAGAGGTTATTCTTTTTTTTTTTTTTTTAAAAAAGGAAGTGAACCAAAATAATATATAATATGCTCACACTGCATAAAATGCCTTGTCCACTTTACAGAGAAGAAAAACCTACAAGTTTTCACTGGAACTAACTACTTATCTTGCAAAAGTATCTGTAAGTTAAAAATTTAAAAAAAAAATTTATAAGTTAAAAATTAAATTTCAAAGTCCATCACCTCTCTTGGTTACTTTAAAAACCTAGTGAGTTTAGAATTTGTGAGGTAAAGAAAAAGAAGCAAATGAGATTAGGAAAAAATAAAACCAGGTAGAGAGTTCACATTTACACAGGTTCTAAAGTTTGCTTTGAATAATCACTTGGGAAGAAAATGGGGCAAAAAGAGACCTTTAGAAGGTCTCATACTCACACAAAATTTAAAATTGAAAATAGATATTTAGCCTCTTATCTTAAATCTCAATTTTCATTTCCCAAAGAAAGTTTCTAAAAAAAAAAAAAAAGGTGCTTAAAAAGTAAACTGTATCTACAGAGACAATAGGGAGGTCTTGTGACCTAGTGGTAAGAAGCTGCATGGTAATCCCAAAGGCACATGGTTCAAATCCACCAGCTGCTCCATCATAGGATGGGCGATCTCCTCCTGTGGGTATGGGCTGGTTCCGACTGTATTGCACATAACAGCACCATCACCATCACCACAGAGAAGATCAAATAAGGCTCAGATGCTCACCCTCTTAACTGTTATCTAATTAACAATTTCAAGTAGCCTGTCTAGAAATTCTTGACTCTGCACTGGAAACTGCAGTTTGGTCTCAACTATAAAATGGAGGTGGGAAAGGGCAGTACATACATAGAAATGGGCCAGAACTCAACGGGACCACCTTGTTTCACTGAGTTGTGAACACTTTCCACCTCTGACCACTATCACATTCTATCATCACCTGCTCAACTCGAACAGCTTCACTCATTGCCAGTGACTCAAAGTCAACTCATAGTCGATCTTCCTGCAAGTTTTCAGAGACCGTAAACACATCTATATGTACATATATGACTTATAAAGAAAGACTGCTCATCTTTCTTCCTCGGAGCACCTGGTGGATTTGAACCTATTGTCTTTAGGTTAGCAGCACACTCCCTACATACTAGGCCACTTGAGCTTCCTTACCACTTGACATTTGGTGGAAAATATTAGAGTTGCCCTTCTTTGATATGTTAGCGGTTTCTGCCTTGCCCAGGTGCTGACTTTAGAAGGCTTTACTCTGTATGTGTGTGCATACACATCTGTGTACACTCTTCTCGTTTGAGTTTGGTTTTGTTTTCATATTTTAAATCATAGCTACATTAAATTTTATATATTCTTCCTATGAGTATCATCGATACAAGCTCATATAGAATGTAATTTAACAATATAACAAGTAGTCTGTCCAAACAATTCTATTTCTGGAAATATATCTTATAAGTAAGCCTGAACACATACAAGGTTCAGTACTGGACTGTATTTTTTAAATGGACTGGCCATTACAGGACATTTGCTAAAACAAACCACAGAAGGTATAATCAGATACCATGGATCTGTAGAGTTGAATGGAAGCAATGTACATGTTCTATGGAATGATCTCCAACGAGTGGAAAAAACAAAAAACTAAAGCAGGGTTCATTATAGGCCACATCTGTGGCCTATTGGGTAAGGAGTTTTGCTGCTAACCCAAAAGCAGGCAGTTCAAATCCACCAGCTGCTCCACAGGAAAAAAACCCAGGCAATCTTCTGTATGACCTATAACCTCAGAAAACCTACTGCAGAGTCAGTTATGAGTAGATTCTGACTTGAGGTGACCCTCAAATAAGCTTCAAAGGGAGAGAGGAAAAAGTAAGAATCAATGCTTGTTTTGTTTTGTTTTGAAATACACACACACACACACACTTAGGGGGATTTAGGAAGGATACATACAAAATGGAGATTCAGAACGCCATAAGAGGGAAATATTTTACTGTGTATCTTTTTCTCTTTGGCTTCTGAATTATGTAAATATATTACCTTTTAAAAAAATAGAACTTATTTTCAAATAGCAACAATTATCTACATAATGTTCAAACATTTTCTTGAGTAAAATGATTCCTCCTAACAAGTGAATGTTTTAGCATAACTTCACACATGTAACCTTTGAATCTTTAAGTAAAAATGAAACTAAATGGCTTTTGCTTTAAAGAAGAAATGTTTCTATATCTTTCAGAAAAGCAAAACTTTCAATACTGAAAGAACTCCATTTCATTTGTTTTGAATTTGAATGTCAACTAATTTGTGTCATAAAAACCAGCTGAATTCCAGACATACAGTGACTTTTTTTTTTTTTTTTTTTAAATTTTTTTTTTTACAGTGACTTTTAAGAGCTTCCCCGTCTCCCCACAGAAAATGTCAATACCTTTGTCCACACGGTTGTGCCTCCCATGAGGGATTCGGTTAAGGCAAAGAATATATCCATCTTCAGTCTCAATGTGATATTCTTCACTAGGAAAGCCCCAATAAGAGATAATTTCGCTCTACAGAAATAAAAAACAGTTGAAATTCTATTAAGGGACTCTGACAAGATCTCCTACATAAACAGGAAAAAAAGAAAACAAAATATCAATGACATTCACCAAACTTGAAATAATCCATTACTGAAATTGTACTCTGTTGAATCTAGCAGCCAACACCAAGAGTGGACCCTCCACCTGCTTTGCTGTTGTTGTTGTTGTAGCTGTGTGCTGTTGGGCTGGTACCAACTCAGAGCTCACCTCTAGCATGTTTCCAGAGGCTGTAAACTGTATGGGAGGAGACTGCCCATCTTCCTATCAAGCAGCTGGTGGATTTGAACTGATTATCTCTGGGTTGGCAACACAACTTATTACCAATGGGCCAGCATATTGCCCTTCCATTTGCTTGACCTACAATTGTTACTCATGGGTGTTGTTTTCTCATTCTGGCATGTGTTACACCAATTGTACCTAATTTTCCAAATATTATTAGTATTATTTGAGTCAAAGCTTACAAAGCAAAGTGGTTTTTCAACCATTCACACATTTTATTTCATAATGATAATATCCACAACGAATACCACTTTGCCTCTTCTTCTCTGTAATCCTACCCCTTCCTAGGCTTTGTCCTTGAATAAATACTACTCTCTTGACTTAACAGTTGGTTATGCTAAGGAATGAGTGGCCCTTGGTGTTACTGGTCATTTTATATGACTGCCTATCATTTAGCTGAGAGTGGAGCCATGGGGGTGATTTCTGTTCCTGGTTTGATGGGTCTTATTCTACTTTCCACACACACACTACCAAGGATCTTGGGATCAGTTGAGAGTGGTCAGCAGTGGTAGCTGGGCACCCCTTAATGCTCCTGGTTTCAGGGTCATGGAAGTTGAGGTCTGCTTGGTCCATTAGCCCTTTGGACTATTTTAGTACATCTTTGTTTTAGTACATCCTTCTTCTTTGTTCCAGACAGGGAGAGACCAATAGAACCACTTTAGATAGAGGCTCACAAGCTCTTGAAACCCCATTCATGTCCTTAAAAAGCTGTAAATGGAAATCCCATTTGACTCAACAATCTCCCTACTAGGCCTATATCTTAAGAAAAGAAGAGCTGCACCATGAACAGAGAGCTCTATGTACACCAAAGTCACTGGAGTATTATTTACAGTAGCAAAGGGATGAAAGCAACCCAAATATCCATCAGTGGATGAAGATACTATGGCATGTACACACAACGGAGCACTATGCATCACTGAAGAACAATAAAAAACCTTGCTGTCAATTCAGTTCCAACCTACGGCAGCCCCGTGCGTGTCAGAGCAGAACTGTGCTCCACACATTTTTCATAAGCAGATCTCCAGACCTTTCTTCTTAGGTGCCTCTGAGTAGATGCCAAACATTAACCTTTCAGTTAGCAGCCAAACACATTAACCATTCGTACCAACAACAAAAAAAAAACCCAAAACATTAACCTTAAATGCCTTTGAATTGACCTGTAGCTAGCTGACTCTCCAACAGGTTTTCAGAGGCTGAAAACTGCGTAAGAGACTGGCTTGCACACACAGAGCAGGTGGTGGATTCAAACTGCTTGCCCTTGGGTTGGCAACATGTCTAGTTATCCACTAGACCAAGCAGAGGAAGCTCTGGTGGCCTACTGGCAAGAATCTGAGTTCCAATCTTGAAGGCATGTAGTTCAAATCTGCCAGCTACTCCGTGGGAGAAGGATTGGCAGTCTCAATCCGTGTGAGTAACTACCTCTGAAAACCCGCTGGAGGGTCAGCTATGGGTCTGTTCCAACAGTAAGGTACACAACAACAACAACAGACCAAGAAAGGAATCCTAAAATACGTATTATATAGAATGAAAAGTCTACCAAACTAAATCCAAAATTCAAGAAGAGCAAAAACAAAATAGAAAGAACCAGTTTGTGACTTATTTGGAGCCATATAACTCAATTTTAAAAAATAATCAACACTGCCACAGTGTTCAAAGCAGGTTACTCTGGGAAACTTACCACATTCATGTTTGTCTCAGGGTCTACAGGGGTCCGCTTCCACCGATGTCCCTCTGAATGCAAGGTCCCAAGGACCAAACTGACCACCAATCCCAAGAGCCACATCTTCATTCTGTATGGAACAGTCAATCCATTGTTAACATCCAAATTTCTCAGAAGTTGAGTCTGCCAACTCAAAAATATGCTGGCAGATGAACGCTCACATGAAAAGCTGGGCACCGGGTTCAGGACACGTAAAAATCAGGTGAAGGGCAAGTATGAAACAGATGACTCCCCCATGTCTAGAAGCAAGAAAATGAGACATTCTCTTTTCCTAGAAATTCTCTCTCCCCACCTTCAGGTTTTCATATGGCCTTTGCAACATAGAATACCCACTTCCTCACCATGAGATAAAAAAAACTCTTTTGTAGAGAAAGAGTATCAGGAAGGTTCAGAAAAGAGCAAAGCCAGGAAAATTCCTCAAAATTCCTGGGTTTATGAAGGTCCCACATCTTCCCCTCAACTTCTAAAAAACTGTTGCTCTTGAGTTCATTTCAACTCATAGTGATCCCTCCACGTGTCACAGTAGAACTGTGCTCCTCGGAGGTTTCAACACCTGGTGTTTCACATGTGAGCGTCTAGGACTTTATTTAAGGAATCTTGGGGTAGGGTCAGAGGTTTACACACCCAAGAACTCTGTTTTAATCCTTAAGTTTGACCAATATTAGCTCTTCTATCTCAATATTCACTTATTTCTCTTCTCAACACCAATCCACACATCAGGATCCAATGTGGCACCCAAGGAAAGAATACAGACATAAAAGAAAACAGACCCTATGAAAGAGAGCTGCCTTTCTTTCCTTCAGAAACTTCTCATTTTTTAACAAAAACATCTGGTTTCTGGCAATGTAGGCTTAGAATCATTATCAGTAAAAGGAAAAGCCTTGGGGTTGAATGGCACAATCATCTCGTCAAAGGAAAGTGAAGTGGCTTTCTGAAGTACAGATGGATTGATAAAGTAACTGGGGTAATGGAATTATGTGTGTCCAAAACAGTGAGACCAACTCAGGATAGGGAAGGGTTCAGAGCTGTTGTGCAAAGGGCAGCTATAGGTCCCAAGCGACTTGACAGTACCTAACAACAACAGCTTTATTTGAGATGGGCCCTCAGGCTCAGGCAACCGTGGCCTGGACTTAAAGACTGGTGTCAGGAAACAGAAGTACGATCCGCAACCAAATCTATACTGGCTGAAAGCAAGCCAATGACTACATGGGAAATGAAGGGAAAGAGAGAAAAATCACATAACATTTACAAAGAAACCTCTTAAGGATGACGGAGATGTTCATGACCTTGACTCTGTCTACCCAGAGCACCCTGGAAGGAAGAAAGGCCTGGTGAATACAAAATATGCCACTGAAAGCCCTACCAGGCACAGTTCTACACTGACATAAAGGGGTCCAAAGGAGTTTGATTTAGCCAGAAGACAACTGCTTTTATTATTATTATTGTTGTTGCTGCTGTTAGGTGCCACAGGGTCAGAAGTGACTCACAGCTGATGATCGTCCAGCAGGTTTTCAGAGGGAGTTAATCTCATGGGAGGAGATTTCCTGTGGAGTTGCTGGTGGACTTGAACTGTGTGCCTTCAGGATTGCAGCACAGCTTTTTACCACTAGGCCACCAGAGATTAGATTAGATTAGATTAGATTAGATTAGATTAGATTAGACTCCACTCACTGGAGGGTTGGGTATAGGTCTGTTCCCACTCTATGGTACACAAGAAAAACAACAGATAATATTACATTACACTACAGTACATTATATTATGCATGATAATTCCTCGGTACAACTGTCTACAGAAAAATTGCTTCAATTTATACTGAGATCTTTACTTTTAAAAGCAAACACTAGACTACTTCCAGTGAGTCCATTCTGGGTTTTAGAAGGTGTAAATCTTAATGGAGGGAACTGCTCATCTTCTTCTGGTGGAGTATCTGGTGGATTCAGAAGCCTACCTTTTGCTTAGCCAGCTAGCACATAACACACTATGCCAACAGGGTCCCTGAACTTTTCATTTTAAAAGAAACTCACTGCCACCAAGTCAGTTCTAATTCATAGCAACTCTCCATCAGGTTTCCAAGGCTTTACATCTTTATGGCAGAAGACTGCTCTCTTTGTCTCCTTTGGAGATACTGGCAGACTCAAACCAGTGACCTTTCAGATTGGGCCCTGTGCCACATGAGCCCTGTAAGACTTTTAATTACTCTCAGATAGTAGCAAGAAGCTGTGCTGCAATCCCAAAGGCACATGCTCCGAGGCCACCTGCTGCTCTGTGGGAGAAGGATGGGCAATCTCCTCCCATGTGATTAATTGCCTCTGAAAACCCACCAGAGGGTCAGCTATGAGTCACTTCTAACTCTACTGTACACAACAAAGACATACCATCAAGTCAGAATTGACTCAGAGCTGACCTTCCAGTGAGTTTTCAGAGGCGGTAAATCACACAAGGACAGACTGCCGGCCTTTCTCGCATGGAGGTGCTGGTGGATTCAAATGCTTTTGGGTTGGTAGTGTAATTGGATCACAAAGACACTCTTTTTTCAAGAAATGCTAATAGTAAACTAAACAGGTGTAGAGCACAGGACATATTTAGGGCAATAACACTATTTTGTATGATAGTTTCAGACTATGTTTCAAATAATGGCATAATGAGCACATGCCATTATTTACTAAAATCCATAGGATGGTACTCCACAAAGAACAAACCCTTAGGTAAACTACGAACTTTAGTTATGATACAGAAGTGTATATTAAGGAATTCTGACAGCTTACTGCTTAGCATGTCAGACTGCTATCCAAAAGGTCAGCAGTTTGAATACAAACTGCTCCTTGGAAGAAAAATGGGGAGTCTCCACCTATAAAGAGTTATAGTCTTGGGAACTGATGCTAACTAAGTTTGCTAGGAGTGGGAACTGACTGCAGGCAATGGAGTTTGGTTTTATCATATCATAATGGTCCATTGGTTGGACGGAACGATACAAATGTTAAAATCAGGAGACAGTCTCAAGTTAGCACAAGTAGTCTGCACTCAATTGTTGACCAAAGAAAGGTTGAAGGTCTGAACCCAGCCAGAGGTACCTTGAAAATAAAATGTCTGTAAAACTATGGCTTACAGCCACCCTATAAATGAGAGATTGAAACCTTTCCCTTTCCTGCTCAAACTCATTGTTGCAGTCACTATCTTCTCTTTTGTTATAAATAAAGAAGACCATTGCAATCTGGGTGTAAACTATTTTTTTGAGAGGAGAGGGGAGGGGAGGGGAGGGGGGGAGAGGAGAGGAGAGAAGAGAAGAGAAGAAAAAAGAAAAGAAAAGGAAAGAAAAGGCCTGGTAATCTGCCTTCTGTTCATTTCTTTTTTAGAAAACTCTACACAAGAAAATACTCCGAAGTAGTTAAACTCTCACTGCTGTCAAGTAGAAGCAAACTCAGAGCTAACCCTCCAGAGGGTTTTCAGAGGCTGTAAATTACTTGGGAGGAGACTGTCTTCTTCCCTCCACAGAACCAGGGGAGGGTTCAAACCACTAGAGAAATACTGCCTTCGGGTTAATGGTGCAATGTGTACCAGAGCTCTGGTGGTCTAGTCCAAAGGAGTTGCACTACCAGCCCAAAGACAGTTCGTTTGCAACCACCCACTGGTTTGTAAAAGCCTGGCAACCTCCTCCCACCACAGTAGGAGTTACAGTAGCCTCTGAAAACCTGCTGGAGGGAAAGCTATGAGTTGGTTCTAACTAGACAGCAATGGAAGTGAGAGTGAATGAGTGAAACTCAGTAAGACACGAGCCAGCTAGCCTAGTCATAATCAACTCAATGGCAACAAACAACAACAAAAGTAATAATAGTGTGAAAAACAGTGTGCAAGGGGTGGAGTATTTGGGAACTTCGTGCCTTCCTCAAAAATCTTCTGTAACCTAAACTTGCTCTAAAAAGCAAACAAAAACCTACTTAAAAGTGAACTGATTCTCTCCTGATGTTATTTCCCTTAGTAGTGGTGATCCTTTAACTTAAAAGAAAGAAATATCATCTTGAGTTCCTGTTGGCATAGTAATCCCACAAGCCTTTCTTTCTTTACTGTAGTAAAAGACTTGCATAGCCCCAGGTTACCATAAAAATCACCTCGTAAAATATCATCATGGTTAGAGATAAAGGAGCGGACTGAAAAGAAAAAAGGAAAGTTTTATAACCACACTTAAGAATAGCAAAACATTGGCAGAAGCATCTTTCAACACCTGCACTGCAGAAGAGTACTCTGCAGCATTTGGACAGCCCACACAGAGACATTTTCATGAGCCTTCGCAGCTGCACCTACCCAGCTCCACCAGGACACCAAAATTCATTTTCCTCCCAACACAACTGCTAAGCGAGGCTCTCAGCAAATCACTCATTCAGTTTGCAAGAAGCTCAGGGGTGCATGTGAAGCAGACAAAGCTCCTCCAGGAATGTTCTCTGGCTCTGGTGCCCTCCCTGTTCTGGATTCTCTTTGCACCTTCATCCCAGTTCCTTCGATACCGCACTTGCTTGTACTCATTCTGCCTCAGACCAGGAGAACAGAGGTGGTGTCTGATTTAACTTTGCACCCTCAAGATTTTGCTAAGTAACGATGGTGCACAATATAGATTTTTTAAAAAACAGGGTAGGGAAGGTTAACAGCTCAGTAACTGGAGAAAAGAAAGATACCAAAGCAGCTAGCTAGCTATTTAGCAACAAAATAATTACAACAACAGTAGCTCCTATATTTAAGCACTTGGTTTATTTCAGACCCTGCCAGTTGTGTGAGTTGGTTTATGTCAGACACTGCCAGTGGTGTGAGTTGCCTCCTACAGTCACCCTCTGCAGTGCCTTTAAACCCAATGTTTCAGGAAATCGAGGGGTAGTGTTGGCTGGGTTAGGGAGCTCTAGCATAGCCCATAAAGAATTGTGCTGTTACCCCAAACGTTGTGCCTTTCTGGCAAGTCGAATCCACTCACTGCAGCCCACAGAAAGACAAGCAATCTCTTCCCTTGCGACTTACAGCCTCAGAAATCTGCTGGAGGGTCTTTCAGACAGTTCAGACTCAATGCAACAAGATTGAGTTTGGTTTTTAA